ATATCACACATATGTTTCAGCTTGTCTCTTTTTGTCGATTGTAAAGCATCCTATGATTTGAAACTGCAATACTAATGTGGTTTTTCAGTCATAATGATGTACTCTTCCTGCTGTAAGCCAATTTAAACGTTAGATGACTACATACTCTGTGGACTCGATGTTCCTGAAGAGCTCAAAGTCTCTCATGGACAGCTGGGCGGCGACCTCCATGGTGCTGAGCTGCAGCAGAGTGATCTGACTCTCTCTGAGGAGGTCCTGAGCATCGTCGTCCGAACACAACGTCTCCGTCTCCATGTTGTTCTTCAGGTAGTACCTTCGGGGGAGGAGGACAGAGGGACAGAGGATAAGATGTTGGAGTTGGAGCAATACTATCAAGTACTGTTCCTACTTTGACCATGTTTAAAATGTGAGAAAGGTTTAACAGAGGGATATAGTTAAGCTTTTTCTATAGTGGGTACTGCTGTGGAGTGTCACAATGAAAACACTGAAACAATGACTTCAATAAATGTATATGTCAACAGATTTCACACAACTGCTTTAGGTTGATTATAAGCTAGAGTATTAACATGACATAATACATTTCATTAAAGCCAAGGTTTCAGTTTTTTCAGTGCACATGGCACGATCCTGCATGAAATAAAGGTGTTTAAAACTATATTTATAGTCATTTTCCTAATAAGTTATCGTAAAAGTGTTTAATAATTGAAAACTAAACAAATAATAAGAGGAATGTTTATGTCTAAGCTATCTCAGAGTATTTTTAGAGCGGATGCAGTTAGTTTTGCAGTACCCTCAGATGCTTTCACAAAGGCTGCAGAGGCAGACATGTGGGTGGACACTGCGCTAAAGAAGGAGAGGAGAGATGAGCTCTCAGCAAAAGAGAGGTAAGAAAGATGACAGGTGCATCAGAGTGTTCTGCGAGTGCTTCCAACAGCAGGCCATCCCTCTTATGTTGTTGTGTTTTTCCAGTATGTGTGAACCCCCCCAACCCCCCCCCCTTCCCACACTTCCACTCTAATGGAGATGTAATTTGGCCATCTAGGAATCCTGCTCCTCGGCACCTAGACCTGCAGCCCCCAGGGGCAAAGTGTTGGCATGGGTTGTGACACTAAATTGTCTTTGGTTACTCTGGAGGAAGAGCCAGAGTGAAGAGCAGCTAACAAGAGATGTGAGAACGTGAGGTGAGAAGATCATGATAGATTTACATTTAAGTTAAAGCATAAGAGGTGTTTCATTTATTTATTTATTTTAGCTCAAAAGCAGATTAGCGTATGCATGTTGAAGGATGTAGTAACAGATTTAGATTTGAGCCATTTAAGAACACATAACATAAGGATAAGTTGAAAAGAACAGATGGGAAATGATGCAAGATGATAGAAGATACAGGGAGACAAGACAAGATACAGTAGAGAATAGGAGACAAGAGGGGAGGAGAGAAGGGCGAAAGGAGACTAGAGGAGGTAAAAGGAAATAAGAGGAGATGAGAAATGGGAAAACAAGACCAAAGTGGACTAGAGACCTAGGCCTACATTTCAAAATGTAATTCTAATTACATAAGATAACCTTTAAAATCATGATATAGAAAATATAGAGCTCTGGAAAACATTTAGAGATCCCGGCAGCATTATCAGTTTCTCTGGTTTTACTATTTATAGGTATGTGTTAAACCTGTACAGTGAACATTTTTTTATTTTATTCTATAAACTACTGACAACATTTCTCTGTGTTGGAATTCAACCGACACTGGAATGGAATGGCTGCCATACATGCAGAGATTGAGATTCAAGAAAAATGTGGAGTGGTTTTTTCCAGAGCTGTATATTCCTGCACATATAGAGAGGAGATGAGACTACATTAAAGACGGACACAATGGTGAGGTAGAGTCACTGGAGCCAAGCCATTACAAAACAGCCTATGGTGGTGTGAGTGTGTGTGTGTGTGTGTGTGCATGCGTGTGTGTGTGTGCTGAGCATTATGTCTCCTAGCAGCATCTATATGTTTTTGGGCTGTGTGAACAAGGCTTGCTATTGGCTAGTCCCATGCCCTGTTAGCCTGCCTGTCAATCATCAGCTGCAGTGAGGGAGAGGAGGAGGAGGCGAGATACGGAGAGAGAAAATCAAGTCTCTATACAGTATATGTACTAATCCTGATAAATACATCCACTGTGAGTACGCAAACATCCTGCTGACACTGCGTTATGTGTTTGTATATCAAAATACTGCCAAAAATGTCATGTCAGTAATGGCGCAGAGATAAGAGGGAAAAAAGGAAAGTAACGAACCAATTTCTCACTGAAGGGCAATTTCTTCCCACTGCAGCCCAGCCATCCACCAGGAACACGGGAAAGTGTTCCCATAAGTGCCCTCTGAAAGTGTGTGTCCATAGGTGTCTGCTAGGACTCCCTGGTAAGAGTGTGTGTGTGTGTGTGTGTGTGTGTGTGTGTGTGTGTGTGTGTGTGTGTGTGTGTGTGTGTGTGTGTGTGTGTGTGTGTGTGTGTGTGTGTGTGTGTGTATAGATGCATGTAAATAAAGTCTGTAAATGTCTATATGGGTATGGATGGGATGGCTGCGTGTTTAGGGGGGGGGGGGGGGGGGGGGGGGGACTGTCTGCATTCATATCTTTGTATGTGCCTGTGTGCATTTGAGTGTGTTTATGAATTATTCCAGAAGGGCCATGCTGTCTGCTGAGGCCTCCGCCCCTGACAGAGGATGAAATATTCATGCTAACCTAGTTGGGAGAGGACTGATGGGGGACCACGGGAGACAAGGAGAGGGGGAGAGAACTGTGAAAAAGCAGGCCGAGGAGCCGTTTTAAAGCAGACTTCACAGCCGCGGTCCAATTACCCTTTACGTCCCACTAACTTTCATCTTAAAAAGGGAATATATCAGCCATCAAGATGACAGAGGGATGGGAGAAAAACAAACTAGCAATGGCGCAAAGTGTCCTTAAATGTTCAACCTACTATGTGGAGATAAGTCGCCAATAAAGTGAACATTTTCAAGATGAAACACAACAGGAATGTATCATCCCTGATGGTTAGGCGTTAGGAAATATCCCTTAACCAGCATCTAAACTGTTGTTTTTCTTTATTTAAGGAATGCTAGCATGTGTTATGTTAGAAGTAGCAGCTTAAGATGTTCTCCAACACTTTTTAAGGGGGAAAATACCACTTGATTTATCCTTTGACTGAACTAGGACAGTGGCTCTTCATCCTGCTGCTCAGCACCTGGAGTCCTGCTGGCTGCAGTCGAGCCACTTACTCAGAAACTCATTTACACCTCGGAAATGTTCACTGAATAATCACATCACAGAGTAGCACCCTGTATCACCAGCAGCAGCATTGAGAACCACTGCTCGACAAGAAGTGAATCAATATATACGTGTTGTACAAACTGTTGGATGGTGTGAAGTCTGTTAGTAGGAAGATATGACATCACCTTAAACTCTTGCACAGTGTAGCCTATTACCAGAACAAACTCGCAGTAGTCGTATCAAGTTCTGAGCTCAGTGTGGTCTTCCGTAAATCCGAACCCATTCAAATATAAAATGACGAAAAAAGGAAGGAAAATATTGCAGGATTCTGGTTTAAAATTAAATCGCAGTGGGTCTTTCAAGACTTCAACGCAACATATACATTCACAAATGTTCTGTTCTGCTTCCAGCTGCCTTTTGTCCAATTCCCTACAGTGGATCCACTATAAATGCATGCCCAACATTTTATCCATGACCAATATGCTTCCCTTAGCATGAAATAGTGTTGCTTTCGACTTTATTTTAGTGTTCTTGTTTGTTGCCTTGTGTACTTTCAATTACAAACACAGAAACACACAGTATAGACGACTAAAACCACTATCTGAGGCTTAGGTTTAGTGTCCTTGGGCAAGACACTTCACCCTAATTTGGGTTAGGGTTAGAAGACACTTCACCCTAATTTGCTCCTGTGGGTATTGTCCACAGTAGTAACTGTTACATGTCTAATATGTGTAATATATAATGTAAAGCGGTTTGAGTATTTGGAAAAATGCTCTAATACAAATGTAATGAATTATTATTATTATTATTAAAGCACCTGTCAACCAGTTCTCGGTATGAGATTTTCCAGAATAATGTGTGCGTTTCCTACCTGCCGTTGAGCTGGATCCGATCAGCCAGTTTGGAGAGCTGGTCGGGGAGGCGGCGCTGTTTTATGACTCCCTCCGGGCTGACTGACACCTCACAGAGGGAGTAGGTCTCGGGTGCTGACACCAGGCCGAACTCGTTGACAGTGTGTGAGACCACATCCTTGGCGGTGGTGTCCTTACTGATGATGATGTAGCAGCTCTGCTGGTCGGCCTTAAACACCCGGATCACCTGGTCTGGGATATCTGAGAGCGAAGAGGAAATAGAAGAGGACAGTTGTCAGTGACCAATTACAGTTGAGCTGATGGGTACTGTATCTGAAGGCCAATACTGTAACATATGTCAATAATGCAATACAACTAACTGGAATGAAGTCTACGACAATAAAACACTCATTTAAAAGCATTTTTGTAATTCTTGGCATTTACCTTTGTCTGGGTAATCTACCAATAATGTGACTGTTACTAAATGTGGTCAGCCCAAGTAGTTGAATGCTATTAGGTTATGGTTTCCATATTCTATTTTCATTACATTATGGAGGGTTTCAAGTGACAAGACTTCTTCTACTGTGAGCAGATCTGCTGAGCGGCCACCTCTCCTGCCAAGACGTCTCGGTGTAAAACCAAAACAAAGACACAATGGTTTCTGGTGTTACAGTAACTTACTTTTAAATGAAATTCACCATATCCAAGTATTTACATTCAGCAATGGCATTACTAAATGATCCTACTCTCCAGTCAAATCATAACACTGTTTCTTTATCGACTTTCCAGCCTGGCTGTAAATTCAGTCAGTCTTTCATTGAAGCCAATGTTCTAGTAGACTAGCATGATGGCTCTATGGATATTTGTCTTCCAACGGCAACATCTCTACAATAGTTTGGTAACATAATTGACATGTTTTATGTTGTAGAACTCTACAAGGCTGCGGAAATGACAATGCTCACATATAAAAGTACAGAACACACAGATTTGTACTTGTTTTTATACTGTGCATCAGCACAAACCTGGGGCTATGTGTACCCACAGCAAGATCAATTACAAAGCATCTTTCACATTTACACTTTAATCTCTTTGAGCCTCACTAAAGCTTAAGCAAGACAGAAAAATAAGGACGCATGCACTTAGAAAGGAAAAGGAAACATTCTTTAAGCTGCATAACAACGGTAGAGGAAGCAGGAATCTTACAGCAAACATGCTTGTAGGTTAAATCAAATACATGTTAAACCTTGACTTCTACACATTAACCTCTCTAACTTCGTTTAGGTGTTGTGACCCATTGTTCTTTGGTTTGTTTTGCTATGTAATAATAACATTTGAGTTAGGAATTACAATCTATTCCTGTCACTTATTTCGCTTAACTTAAGACAACTATTATTAGATAGAATAAAAGAGTCATTTAAGATCATACAAGTTTACAGATGAACAAAAGAAAATAGATGAAACCCACATTCTTCTTAATGTTATTAATAATTTAAACTAGAATCATTATCTTCAACGTATGATGTAATGTAGCAATTAAAAAGCGATGAATGCAGAAGTGAATAATTCAAAAATCAACAAGAATAAAAGTGCGTCTTCTCTAATGATGTAAGCTGCCGTACTAGATTAGTGTTTATTTTATATGTTCAATATTAAGAGGGACAAATAAAAGCTTGAATGTTAGTGGTGATGCTGGAGCAGCTGCACGCGACTCACATGGTGGTAAATAATGGAAACGTCTCCCCTGAGTCAAACACTGCCTTAAAGATCGCTGTGTTTGAGTAAGGAAGAGGGTACGGCCCATTAGCCACAGGCAGCCGAGGAGCTTTAAAACAATGAGTCATGGACGCTGCACGGAGACAAGTGGAGAGGGAGTCCGACAGACCAGATACAGCTGTCATACTGCGGTGTGTGTGAGAGAGTGTGTGTTGAGTTGGATAACATTAACTGAAATTGGAAGGGGATCATGAAGAGACCTAAGAAATACAAAAGCTGAGTTGGACTTGTTCACATAGATTTGAATGCAAATAACAGTCATTTCTTCCTGTTAACCAGGCAGAGAATGGTTAAAGTCATCGCCATTGTCTGATCTGACTCTGGGGATTTTTCGGTGTGTGTGTGTGTGTGTGTGTGTTTAATGACAAGAGCTGGAGCGCAATAGGAAGAAACAAATAGCTGAAGGCAAGACCAAGAACAATAATGTTAGAGTGAATGCTCATGATGAATGAGCTCGGCTTGTTTAAAGACAACTGTGTGTGTACAGGATTCCCTGCATGTTCAACATCTTTGATGTATGAATAAAAGAAGTGAGGATATGTTAAGGGAAGTTCAGTTTGGATGTGACCATGTCGCTGTTGGTTTCTGTTTCTTTTTCTCTGTGTTGCGATTTGACAAGAATGTACATTTTATATTCATATAAAAGGAACACAAATGTTTCTCCTCTGCAATTTCAGCTGGGAGGTCATTTACATATAAATGGTTTATTTAGATGTCTTTTTTCAATGCATAGTTATAGTGTTTCAACGTCTTATTTCTTCAAGCACCCCTGCTTTGTTTAATGGATTCTTTTAACTTTTCTATTTTGCAGTCATTGGTTCCTTCAATGTCAACATATTGATGTTTTGATATGGCCAATCTTGGTTATGAATGATCTCTCTATGGACTGGGAGCTTATTGATTTAAATCACATGACATATGCACTTGATATGACGAGTGAAATGATCACTGACTGTTTGCCTGAAGAAGGCAATGAGTGCATTGATTCCTAAAAGCAAACCTACAAATGTTGCACCACAGGAATACGTGTGTCATTCTCTGTGTTGCTGCAGTCTGAAAGCTCCTCTCTGTTTATGTGCAGCAGAGTGGCGATGGAGGGTTGAGAGGAGGCTAAATGCTTTGTGTCTCATTAGCTTTGATTTGTGATTAAAGTGTGGGAGGCTCTGGGCTAAATAGCTAGCTATAATATCCGGGGGGCTTAATCGTGTTTAATCCTCTGGATGAGCTGCAACCTGACCTGCACACAGGAGGACAATCATTGCCCATGCAGTCACACATCCAATCAATTATCACCTTTATTAAAGTATCATTTATTTTCATCAACAGCAGAGAGTGTATCCACGGTCTGAAGCCAAAGGGGAAAAAAAAAAAAGTCTTCCTGGTTTTTTTGCAAACACAGCACTAAAAGAGGCAAAACACTTCCCACAAGCCTCAGTTTACTCCTCGCCCTTCGATGCCAAAGCATTTCTCAGTCACTCCATCATACAGTCGGAAGACATAAATCTAGCGAGAAAGCATACAAAGCAGCAGAGTGCAGGGCGTGAGAGCCGGAGGAGTGGAGAGGAGAGGGAGCAGAGCAGCTGGAGTTAACACCAGAGCTCGGAGAAATAAACTCAATTAGAAAAGTTCTATTGATGCACATTTAATGTAAATCCACACATTCTACCTGCAATGTCCCCTTTGCTGTAATTATGTAAATATCCCCGCTTTGGGACGAATAAAGGATTTCTTATTCGGATATTTCCTCTTTAGTGCGAGCCTCAGAGCTATTTTATGTCTTATTGTTTCAACCAAAACTACTGAAAAAACTAAATCCAACAACGGATCTTTTCTTCATTCTGTAGCCAGAGCTTGAAACTACTCATGCCTTCCAAACACACACTATAAATCCATATGGCCTCATTAGGTGCCATATTCTTTTTAGCTCCTTCTTGTGTCAGTGGCTGGAAGGGTGTGTCGGAGTCAGTGTGTGATTGACAGCAGCCTGCGGGTTAACTCTTCCTCCCGCAGCAGTGCAGAGACAAAGTAAACACATTTGCCCTGTAGCTTACAAGCAGTGGGCAGACAATGTGGTTAGTGGTGTTGAAGAGTGAGGCCTTCCTCAGAATCTAACCTGGCCTGAGTGACGTTTGCAGGAACGTTTACGTGCTGTTTAACGTGCTGCAGCCGAGGAAACAATTAACTGTATAGCCTGAAACACTGTCATTAGCATTTTTCCCTGGAGAACGTTTGTTTGTCTGTTAGACAGCCTATGATAGGACGGCGTGATTGCAGCCTTATGGAATTATGGTTTGGAACGAAGCAATTTCATTGTCCCTTTTGGTGGAAGTTCTCAATCTAAGTAGACTGGGAATTCACTTTTTGTTTAATAATTCAAACAGTGGGGGCACCATCAAGAAAGAAAAATGATTTATATATATAAAATATGAATTTCTTTCTTTAGGTAACAGCATATGTGATTTATAGAGCAGATATGTATCCTGGAGAAGAACAACATACAGTTTGATATAAGGTGGGACTTAAATGCAATCTGTTGGTGTTTATTAACCATCCATAATAATGTCGATCGCAATCAAGAAATATGTCAACGGATTCAAATTGATCACTGTCTTGTGGTCACAAATACTTAAATGAACTGGTTGTAGTAGTTTGATTTTTTTGAGAGAGAAACTCTTATGTTCTCACAAGAATAGATGAGAAGTAGTAGTACAAATGCACACATGTGAAGATTGGGTAGGGGGAAAAGAGATCATGGATTAAAGAACAATACAGTCAAGATGGAGGGGACTTTTGGGATCAATTTGTTATGAAACACATTCAGGCTTTTGCATTGAAGATGTGTATACTTACAGTAGAGTCCCAGAGCTTGGCAAGCAGAAAGGAGAAAGATAAATCACAGTGAATATGAGCGTTAGAAAGAGTGTGTGAGGAGTACAGAGAGACAGTTCCTGGAAACATTGTGGCAGATTTGATGAACAATAGGGGGAAAGACCAGTGGATGTTCTACTGTAGCCTTAATCTGTTCATGGGAAACCAGAGGGGAGGAGTGTGACTCATCATTCCTACACTATAGAGAGTGCAACTTCACTGAGAAGACACAAAGACACATATTTTGTCTAAATTAGGAATGTACTAGAGAGTATTTTCATTATCATTATCCATTGTTTCATCTTTCAGTCCATAACATGTCCCATGACTCAAGGAGCTGTCTTCAAATTGCTTACTCTTTTAGCCAAACCATCTAACACTCAGGGATAATACATTTAAAGTTCAATAGGACAGAAAAAGATAGCAAACGATCCTATTTGAGAAGCTTGAACCAGAGAATCTGTGCTTTAGACAAATGTGTCTATAAATACTTAATAAATTGATCCATATCGGCAAAATACATTTTTTGATTTGTTTACAAACCATCCATTGCTTACTTTGAAGTACATTACAAGCTATGTTCATAACATTTAATTTGAATTAGACTGTCTAATAAAGTAAGAGTAGATCAGACAAGACAACAAATTGCCACAAAATGACAAGGAAACAGATTAGCGACAAGCTAAGATAAAAAAACAAACCTAAAAAGCACTTTAAAACAACCCAAGAGTTGTCTAACTCCATAAAAAAGTCTAATCGAGATATCAAGATTTTATATTTATTCTGATCCATATGCTAATTTAATTATAGGTAGGATTTTTGTGGCACTAAAAGCTCTTTAAAGTATCTGAAACGTTGTATTTAAGAAGGCTGCCCTGCCATTCAATCTAATGGGAAGCCAGAGGACGGAAGTATAGCTGATCTAATGGCGGATGATTTATGTGCCACAGTTGGTGCGTGTTTGTACTCTAGTACACAACGAACACATGTGATGTATAGCCTTCCAACCACAAATCTACATGCAAGTGTGTGTATGTGGGTGTGTGCGCCTATCTGAGTGTGTGTAGCTCATTAACAAATGGATGGTGGGATAAATCAGGACTACATTCACTCTCCCCCTCTATTTCACCTTTCCACTTTCTGTTTCTTGTTCTCCCCTCTCAAAATGTTATCCCCCTCAACACACAAACACACACACATATCCACAGGGAGCGCTCCATGTTAGTCTAAATAATAACGGGTGCAGGAACCCTCCTGACAGGAAAGGAATAAATAAGTTGTATAGTCCAGGAGGTTAATCCTTTTCCGACGGACACAATTCTGCAACAGCAGTGCAAAAAAGACCCCTGGGTAAGTGTGTGTGTGTGTGTGTGTGTGTGTGTGTGTGTGTGTGTGTGTGTGTGTGTGTGTGTGTGTGTGTGTGTGTGTGAGAAAGTGTGTGTACACCTGTGCTAGAAACCTACAGTGACTTGCTTAAGGTGATTTAGGGCATGTTCCTTTTTTAGCATGGAGTATTTTTGAGGAGTTTGTCGGTATTTCAAGGAGGAAAAAAGATAAAAGATAGAGAGTTTGCATTCCAGACTAACCAACACTACACTTCTCATATGACTGCTTTATGCGATTATGTTCAAGGATGACAGGTGGTTTGCAGAGCGTCTCTCAGCGCTCACTGAGCATTGGAGTCCTTTACTCAACAAGTGGCTTTCACTGTTCAACAAGGCCAAGGATGACAAACAACTTCAGGAAATAAGCACTATATTGTTTGACTGAGAAACCTGAAATGAGGTCATGAAAGTCAAGAGCAACTGCGACTGAGTGTGATGAAAGTGGTTCTATCCCTGCATCCAAAGAACATGGCGTTTTTTCTGAGGTGTTTCAGACATTCTGAGTTTGGTTCAATCCTATTAAAATCTTGGAGTGGCTGTGCTTTTCCCAAGGTGAATGTTCAAAAGCATTATTCAACAAACCTTTAAATGCTCTGGTTAAGATTAGTAATAAAGAGTCATCTCTGTAATGTGTTGGGAGACGTCTGGGAAACAGTTTTAAGAGACGTTTCCAATATCTTCGGCATTTCTCTCAACAAGAACCCAAAGTAGTATTACTGGGGAAAACACCAGAGGAAATACAAAAAAAGATTCCTACCTATTTCTGGTAATTAGAATAGCGATCATCAAACAAATTACAAGGAATTGGCTAAGATAATAACTTAGTAAACTCACAATGGAATAACCTAGTAAATGAAATCTATGTAATGGAGAAAAAACTATGAGAATTAGAAACCAAATGCATATCTTTGAGGAAAGGTGGGAAAAACGGGTCAAGTATAGAACATGAATATAATTAATGTATACCTGAGTATTAATAATGTATCCATTCTTTTATTTGTAATAATATTATTACTATTATTGTGTTATTTATTTTCAGATATGTCATCTGTTATGTAGTTCATCTATGTACCTAGATGTTTTTATTTTGTTATGTATACTTTGGGAATATTGTCTTAAAATGAAAAAGAAAAAGAAAAAAAAAGTGACATCCTTCTTGATTTTTTGAGTCTCTTCTCACCTGCGGGGTTGGAGAAGTCGAGGACGCTGGCGGCCGGGTGCAGCAGGTCGGGGCTGCTTGACGACAGGTTGCCGGGGATGGGCATGATTGCCACACTGTGCCGACACTGCTTGGTACCCACAATGCTGTCATCCTGAGACTGACCCATGCCCCCGTCACTGGAGAGGAAGAAGGGACGGGGGGAGATTTGAGGGGGAAGATAGGAGGGAAGGAAGAATAAGGTAGGAGTGTTGGGAGAGGAAGGGTGGTGTTAAAAGAAAAAGGGTGTGGTATTAAGAGAGAGAAAGAAAACAGGAGAATTAGATTTGAACCTTCAATTCATCATTTAATCTTCCACAATTCATTTGAGGCTTTGCGCAGCAGTAGACATCTTTCAAAAAAACTGCCTGAATGCTTTCCCCTTATGCTTTATGACTTTTAAGCACCAGCATTAGATTGAGTGCCTTTACCTGCATCTTGAACATATAATAACTCATAACAAAATATCAGGAGATTTAATCAAAATGTCTACTCTTACAGAATGACAACATAACATTTCAATATCTCTATATTTGTATTTTAATATGCAGCAGTGACACAGCAGAAATTCATCTGAGAGGCGGTTTCATGAATGGCAGGAACTGATAAGGAGCATTCACAGAAAGAGACAAGAGACACGAGTTCTCTTGTGTTCAGAGACACAAGGTAAGTAAACATACACAGGACAAAGAGACAGGCACGCACAAGACCACAGAGACACAAACAAGCAACAACACAATTGAAAATAAATGATAGGTTAATGTAACAAAGTTTCATGAAGTAATGACGATTTTAGCTCATTCAGATGTGACTGAATGTGTTTTTATTTGCATATTTGTACTTTTTCCCCTGTGTTCTCCCCCCTTTTTTGATTATGTGCAGTGGCCGAATGTAACTACTTACATTGACTCAAGTACTGTACTTAAGTAGACATTTAAAGTACCTCCACATGAAGTGTACTCACTACAGCATTATGCTATCTATTTTTGAGGCAAGTTTCCTACTTTTTACTCTTTTCCAGCTTTAGTTACAAGCTATTTTGCAGATTAATGCGAAACATTTTTATAAAATATAATTTACTTATAAATCATGATATATTACTATAGGTTACCCAGCAATAAATAAAATGACTAAAATAAACCCCTTTCTTTGCCAGATGCAACATTAAAGTGATGATATAATGAAATTGTATGATATATATGATTCTGAAATTAGCCTTACCGCATAATGGGCACTTATGGTACTTAAAGGTCATTTATGTTGTCAACACTTTTGTAGTTTTACTAGAGCACAAATTAGTATTTTCACACTGTAGTGTTGCTAATTTGACTTAAGTACAATATCTGAGTACTTCTTCCACCATAGTGTTGGCATGAATCCCTCTGTTCTCAGGTGTGTGTCCAGCAGTTGGCTGGAATATGAGGCAATACTGGACTTGAGAGACAGTTGCCTCTCTACCTGCGGCGCTCAGGGATCTGCACACATTAACCTTTACATTAACAGTCTCATTAGACTGCCTGGACCTGCACACATGTGATGGAAATGGCGACTCTCTTGAGACAAATCCATAGATGGATAGGTTAGGTATTGTGGATTTAAATAGCCCTGCCTCAAATGATATAAGTGGGTTTTCCCCAAGGTTGAATACAACTTTACTAAACAGTTGTTGCAGCTTTAAACTTTCAAGATTAAGAATGTAAGTAAATGTATATTAATTCAGACTGAAACAGAATAAAAGAAAATAGCAATCTTGAATTGTCACTTCAAAGATGTGATGATTTATTAATGTCAACTACACATTTCAATATGTTGTTGTTTAGAGTTTGAGTCGCAGGCTGTAATTGGGTGTCTGACACATGGTGTTCGTCTTGTCCTTCCCTGCATACTAACGGTACTGTAGCATCCCTCTGTGTGTGTGTCTGTACAGTGTGTACTCTACACACTGCAGTGATGCAGGGCTTCCACTAACAAAGGAACAACTGCTATAGCAAAGCCTATGTAATCATCACCGCTCGAAGATGGGAGGACAGTCAACACAGACAAAGGAAAGTAAAGAAAAGGAACAACAAACAAAAAGGCATATTTAAAATGTATTCAGGTTGGTGAAGAAAGGAGGAGGAAAAGAAAAAGGACATTTAGAAAGAGGACAGCATGGGACTCATTTTAAGGTCTGACCATATTTGCACTTAGACAAATGGAGGTTAAGGGCAAATATAATTAGATGTGAAGATGAGGCGTACTTCTGATGATAGGGGATACGTCTGACTGTCACATACATGTATTTTGGACACCATTAACAGATAATAGCAAATAATTGTATGATATAGCAAATCATTTTGGTGAGAGATAAATATACCATTTAAATGCTAGATTAAATATGATGTAGATGTAGAAGATGTCTAGCATATACTACAATATGAAAGCTTTTATGTTTTATAGATAGAGGTATTTATCTGATTTGAATCAGCTGGCTGGTGTACTGACTGTCAAACACCAAAACACTAGGCCAGAACACTCTTCTCTACCATTTAACACTTTCATTTACACCAATAGATCTCCTTTGAATCTATTCTCAAACATCCCTGCAGAATCCAGACAGTTTTGATTGAATGACAGGGAATCTAAGATGGAAAGAAGGCGTGCAGAGGAAGAGAAGGAACACCTTGACTTTGCGGGAAAAGTGGGATTCTTGAGTTAAAGAAATTAGCATGAAATCTTCAAATGAATCCCTCTAAGAATGCTGCTGAAGGTCAGTGGTGTGGTGTGTGTTTGTGAGTGTGTGTGTGTGACTGCCTGCTGTGCGCCGGCTGCAGATGGATACTGAATCAAATGGTTGGAGGACGGGGAGTTACGCAAGAGGTCTTACCGAAACAGGCCCCTGAAGCAGCGGAGACAAACGGGAGAGAGACGACATTGAAAAGCATGAAAAGAAAAAGTAAGCAAAAGAAAAGAAAACAGAAGCAGAGCTCTGCTGGAGTGTTAAGCTAGCAGCTGCAGCAGAGCCTCTCATTTCTTACACATACTTAAACACAAACATACATGTAGGAAACTAAAAATACAATAGTGTGGACACACTGAAAGGTTGGCTGAATTAAAAAGGAAGAACATTTTTTAAATGCCAGCATATATTCATACACAGCAGATGACAGGAAATTGCAGGATTTGTGAGGAACTTCACTATTTTACCCCATTCACAAAAAATACTTAAGATGTCAGCAAGTAGCAGGAAGTCATAAGGAGGATATCTTTAGAAAACATTTAGTCTCAATGAAAAAGAGCATCAAAGCACTACAATCTTTATAATAAGCAAGCTTTCAGTCAGCGACTTCGTAAAAAGGCAAGGGAACTACATTCTCTCTGTTAAAAAATGTTTTAAAGAAAACATCATACAGTGTACGTTTGACCACAAAACAGCACATATATTCCTTGCAACTGTCCAGTGAGCTTGCAGTAAAATGTGGACATCTTGTAAGTTGAATGTCGAGATGCACAATCACTTAATAACACAACATGGCAATACACATCATGATTGAATGCATGTAGCTGTATCACAAAGAAGTAGAGAAGATGAAATGGCATCATGGGACATGAGGTTACTACTTAATTGCCGTCTCACTAAATCACAGAGACTTCTGAGGCAGACTGACTCAGGGGCTTAAATCTTGGTCTATTGCTTTCCAATCTGTGGAATGTAAATCAACACGGCTGGTCAATATGGGATGCGTGTTAAGGTGCATGCACAGGCCGAGACATCTTCATTTGGCAGAGAAACGACCCGTTTATTGCCGCCGTGTCCTTGTCATATAAAATCCTAGTCTGAGCACAATGTCAGCCAAGAACAGAAACGGGCAGCAGCGTAGTCGATGGGTTTGTGTAAGAAGAGCTTCTCAATTGGATTTTAAATTGTTCATTTTCCTTCTTTAAACTTGCCAGGTGTTTAATAAGAGACAAATACAAGTATAGGGACCATGGCACATGGCAACAGTTTGTGTCTTAAATTGGGAGTGGGTCGGTATACTTAAATGTATCTGTAAAAGTACTTTCTGTCTGTGTACAAAAGGTACAGTACGAGCTGTTTTGACAAAGAAGACAACTATATAATGTTGCCTCCCTGACACATGTTCATCCTACAACAAGCACTGATGAATCTCGATTGCCCCGAACCACCCGTCTTGTCTCTGTTCTCAACTCCACTCGCTTTAATCAGCCAGCAATTCCTTTAAACCAAAGAGTGGTTTGAATAGTGCCTACCAGAAAAATATAAAGCAATGAAAGCCCCCTTGTTTGGTCGATAAATAGAACGCGGTGGAGAGCCTTTTGAAGATCAGATCAATGGCCGCCTGATAGCGTGTGGCGTTATGAGACAGACACACAATCAGTTTCCATGCTAACTGTGTGGCTTTGTGGACATAATGACTGTCGAGAAACTGTGAGAGTGGAGAGAGAAAAGGGAGGGAGGGGAGGTAGCTATGACAGTGTGTGTGTGTGTGAGTTAACTGTGCGGACGGTTCACTCTGTAATTAACATGGAACATCGTTTTCCCTCACACACACACTGACACAGTTTGGAGTATAATAAGGCCTAGAGAGGCATGAAATGATGAAATGAAATCAAGCCTGTATCATCTCGTCACGGCTGGAATATTGAATATGAGCCTCCGTCTGCACAATTGCTTTAAATTGCTCCAGATGCTGCAAGTGTATTGGTGTATTATGGATGGCAACGACAATGGTTATACGATGATGATAATTCCTTTTACATGAATTGTCTGGAATCAATTGACGCTACAGCAGCTAAAAGACTGCGACCAAAGTAAGACATGTGCAAAAGAAAACCTACACATTTTGTTGTATTGTTTATGTACCCATGGCTTGAAATCAGGAGGGTCTTTCACTTATTTCTGTGTACCAAAATTAAGGCAAGTATTTTTATTAAGTTGAATGAAATATCTCCTTTTCCGGGTCATACAAGCTGCAAGGAGAGGCTAAATATGTTTCTCTATCGCTTCCTGAGGGGCCGTAAGTATTTCAGTTCAGTGGCAGTTCAATGGCGCATTTCCACTACAGGGCCTCGCTCGGCCTCGCTCGGTATGGCTAGGCCTCGTTAGGCCTTGTTAGGACTGGCTCACTTTATGCTGCGTTTCCATTACAGTTTAGTAGCTGGGGCAGTAACTATAGTAACGCAGTGTAGGCGGAGCCGTGACGTCATCTTCAATGAGAACCACAGAAAAACAACATCAGCCGTTAGCTGTTAGCACTCAAGCTCACAGCTCCTCATATCTGTTCAGAAACTAGACAAAAGTTAAACAAGTACAAACTATAGACTGTCTGTGTCATGGCGAATACAGTCGCTGGTTTATTTATGTCTGTCTAGGGCGTTGTTGTGAGTGTGGACGGTCGGAGCATATACTGCGTTAGCTTAGCCGATCTCCATTTAGAAAACACGCATTTTAAAAGGATTTTTGCCTGCCGTCTGTTGTCAAAGCATTAATTCATGGTTTTTACTAACCGGTATCAGTATGTTGTTACTTCGGCATCATTTTGAAACGTGTATTACAATTAAATCACGGTCAAATATGTTCATTTTGTTGTAGTTGTGGACCCCTTGCCAGCGATTCTCTCTCTAGTTTAGCATACTCAGCCCGACTCAGCCTGGTTGTTGGCCCGGAAAGAACCTCGATTGTATGGGGCCAGAAAAACTGTGAAATAGTACCCGCTAGCCGGAACTACGCCCAGTGGAAACGCAACCAAAAACAGGCCGGGCACGGCACGCTTAAAGCGAGCTCCGCGCTGTAGTGGAAATGCGCCATAAGATATCTGATCACAACACCAAGATTTTCTGTCGGCAGATGGTCACAGCTTGCTTCAATACTGATAGAGAGATGGTAAACAAATCTTGTTAGAGAGGAGTGGTGCCCGGCTGAAAGATACAAAAATTCTGGAGTCCTTCTGACTGCTTATGCTCTCATATATCATCTAGAATTGAATATTAGGTTTTCTTTCCCATTCAAGCACTGGCTGAATGAAGACAGCAGTGTACATGTCTTCCTACCTGAATGGTTTGGGTGGCAGAATACTGAAGCGCGTCTTCTCCAGCATCTTCCTGATCTTGTTCCGTCCTCCTGACACAGTGTTGGCCTTCATTTTCCTCGTGCTCTTGTGGTCTGTCGGGAACTCCATGTCTCCGGGAAGGTCGGGGATGGAGAAGCGATTTCCTTTTTTCTCCTGGATCTTGGGAATGTGAGGGACGCCGTTCTTCTTCTCGTGCGTGATCCTGCTCAGGAGCTCTTTGAACACTAGATGGAAGTATGAAGAGAGGAGGAGGGGGTTGGTCGCTTGGTCGCTTTCTCAAATGATTAGCACTGATGTGAATTAAAGCAGATTGTTCTATATGTTGTGTGCGAGTACAAATAATGTGACTTTGCTTACCAAATATGTTGGTTTTGGCAGTTAGGGCGAGATGTGTGTTATTTCTCAGGATGTCAACTGCTTTGGAGAAGGAGATGTTCTCAAAGTTTTGACCATTGATCTCCATGATCTGAAACAAGAAATGAAATAGAAAAATGATAGCAGAAGTCAAATTAATAGCATGAATTTCACTCAAGACAAATATATTTTATCTTTTTTTCTGACATCTGAAACACATCAGCTGTATTCTGGTATGCCTATCACAATATTTTTCCAAACTGTCCTGACTAGGCATTTTTCCCAAGACTGAAATGAATGTGGTTCCTTTCTAAATGACACTAAAAAGGGAAGTGTGCAGTGCAGTATGACAGCAGGGAAGCCTGAATGGAGAACGGTTGTTTCTTGTCAGCTTCTGCTATAGTTAAATGTAAACAAAAAGCAGTCAGTTGGGATATGTGCTGTATAAGGCAATACAGACATGATCAAATCATAAACTGGAAAGCATTTGGAAATGGTGAGATTTTGTTGGAAGTTGGATATTATGTACCGCTTGGTCTATTTCTTAAAAAAGTAGAAATACATCATGTCTAATAGTGAAACACCGCTTAATTTGTTTTGTCCTCTCACCTGATCTCCCCGTTTGAGTCCGGCCTCGGCTGCCTTGCTCCCTGGTTCCACCGACTCAATAAAGATGCCGAACCCTCTCTCGCTGCCGCCCTGCACGCTGAAGTAGAGCGGAGACTCCCTGGAAGCCTTCTGCAGAGTGACCTGTCTCCACTTCGCCTTGGCCGCACATGCTATATTCAGCAGCCTCAAATGGCCCTTCATTTTCTGACAAAGATGGAAAAAGGTTGAGTTTGAGAACTCTTGCATTTAAATTGGCTTTTGTTTCCTGATGTGTGCTAAGTAGCTTTTGCATGAGAAAGTAAATTATAGTACAATAATGGTTTGATCTGAGCTATTATTCTGACGCTATGTCTTGAGGGACTCAGGGAATTCAAATCCACTATCTGAACTGAATCATAAATACGGAAGAGAATTAGGTCAGAATTCTGACTTAAAAAAAAAAAAAAATTCTGACTTTTTCCTCAGAACAAAAAAAAATAAAATAATAATTCTGACTTTAAAATCAGAATTCTGAGATTAAAGTCAGAAAAAAATAAATCCTCCCAAAAAAATAAATCATGTGACCCTAATCCTCTTCCGTACATAAATGACAAAAAAAGAAGTAAACATTAAGTTTGACTTGTTCTTACTGCAGTTTCTAGATGTCTCTCAAAGTCCTCCAGGAAGCGTGTCATGGCCGGGTCGCCCTCAAAGTCGTTGAAGTGGTTGTTGACCCACAGCAGCACTATTCTCGTCACCTGTGAGAACACATTGAAAGCTTTATTTAGTGGAGCCACAAAACACACTCTTCTTTTGACACAGTTCCTGTCACATTTTACTTTACCTATTCAGTTCTAACAGTATTCAAGTACCTTTGCTTTGACAAGAAATGTGTTGAGAGCTCTTTCAGAGTGCTTGTACTGTAGGTGTGGGGTCAGAGGTCATGTTTAACTACTCTGCAGGACCGTGGGAGCTAGTAGTTGCTCAGGGACACTTTGGAAAGCTAAATGCTTGACAACAAGATTGCTTTACAGTAAGTGGAGTCCTCTTTACTTTACTGTCAAAACTGCCTGTGTTAAATATTTTTCATCTATATTTAATGGTTAAATCAGTTAACATCAACTTTAATTTCTGCCACAATGCACTGCTAATGATCAAATGTCAGTTTTAATTCATAAAAAAACACAGCCTTTAGAAGTCTTTACTGTAAAACATAGGAAACAGCAGGGAGTCTATATAATGATCATGTGCATGGCTGCAGAGGAAAGGTTTAACAATCGGTTGACTGCTTCATTTTGCCAGCAATAATTGGAAGAAAAACCTAAAGCAAGGGAATCTGGAAACAATTATTTCTGCAGATTTACACCGGTGGTAACATTGTTCTAACCTTAGCAGAAGGTCAGAGAAGCAACCAATGCATCAACACGGAGCTTCAATCAATTTATGTCTACTTTCCACTCTTTCTTTCACTTCTCACGCCATCCCTCCTCCTCTCTTTCCACATACTGTATCTTTTTCCCTGCTCGTCTTGTACAGGATTAGATCCTGTTTAACGGAGCTAAAGATTATTATAAGCCTGAATGACAACCACATAAAGAGTATTGACATTACACCACTAATCTTGGGTTAAAGCAGTCACTGTATGGACAGTGGGAGTGCCAGGCATGGACAAATCGCTGCTGTGCTCAAAGACAGCTGAGCTGGCTGAACGTGTATCGATCGGGATGTGAGCGACAACAATTCTCATCGACGAGCATGAATACAAAACATAAGTAGTGCTAAGAACGTAAGGACCATCAGGCACACATACAGAGTGAAATAATGTATACAGTTTCAACTTTTGTATGTAAAACTACCCTTAAAGGTCCCCTATTATACTTTTTTTCTTCAATTTATTATATTTCTCAGATATATACAGAACCTGTCTCTGAAGTGTTTGGCTCGAAATACCAAACAGATCATTGTAGCATCCCATAAACAGTTTCAGCCCTGTTTCAAAAGTGCTGATTCTCTGTCTGTTACTTTAGATGAAAATAAGGAGCCCCTCCCCACGCCCCTCTGAGAGATATTTGGTTACAAAGAACACCATGGTGCTCTAGGAGGAGATTCAGGTGATAAGGTGGGGGGGGGTTGCCTTGGTTGGTGATTGGCTAATGGTTACACAAGCCAAAAAAACATTATAACATCACTAAGTGGCCAAAATCTGATCAGCTCATTTTCAGACAGGTTTTTATAGAAATGGATCAGGACAAAAAGAGAGAGAATCGTTTTTCCTGAAACTTTCAGAATCTCTTTACACAGAGATTGTATCTTTTTCCCTGCTCGTCTTGTACAGGATTAGATCCTGTTTAACGGAGCTAAAGATTATTATAAGCCTGAATGACAACCACATAAAGAGTATTGACATTACACCACTAATCTTGGGAGAGAGAATCGTCGAGCACACATGAAAAAGTGGATTTTGTGTAATCGGTGACCTTTAAACCTTTACTTCCAGAAAAGGACCTGAACATTCCTACACACTTGACCTTTACCATCTACTCTTGTCCAAACATGCATGCAAATGGGGGCCACACCTTTAACAACACAGTGTACATACAAACAGAAACATCCAAAAAAAAAACAACAACTCACTGTGTCTCGAAGGTTGTCCATATAAAACCACTCCAGCAGTTTCCTGCCGACCTCCATGGGATTTGAGATGAAAGTCCTGTAGGTCAGCAGGAAGTCCTCGATGTAAGTGGGGTCCACCACCGACGGCTCCTCCACCAGGTGCATGATCAGACGCTCGGGGGTTCCCTAGGGTGGTCATATATACACACACACATGAGGATACAAGGAGAAAAATATACAGCCCTCACTCTTACACACAGATGTAGGACAGCTGAATTGACACAAGGGCACATTTAATCTATCCACACACACACACACACACACACACACACACTTCAGGGGACATTACATTGACTTACATGCATTTTCTGGAGACTTATCCTAACCATAACCAACACATGCCTAACCCTAACCCTTACCCTTAACCTTACCCTAACTCTAACCAAGTCTTCACCCTAAAATTAATGATTCCCCTCATGGGGACCTCCAATTTGTCCCCATAAGGGGGGCGCGTCCCCACACGTGACTGTGTAAACAGATGTAGATCCCCACAAGTATAGTAATGCTAGGCCACACACACACACACACACAGGCCCACACACACACACACACACACACACACACACACACACACACACACACACACACACACACACACACACACACACACACACACACACACACACACACACACACACACACACACACACACACACACACACACACACACACACACACGCAATTTAAATAACTTATGTCGACATAAATCATAAAAGTGACAAGGACATACACTGTAAAGATGCAGCTATTGAACTGAGCTGTCAGTCACCCATCAATAAAACAAACACAGCAAACACACACACACACACACACACACACACACACACACACACACACACACACACACACACACACACACACACACACACACACACACACACACACACACACACACACACACACACACACACACACACACACACACACACACACAGCTCTTTTACACACTCGATCATTTGTTACTGAGGTGTGACATAATTTCTGTATAAACCCTCAATCTAAATGTACTATTATACCATTTGTGATTTCTTTGTCTACATCTTTGATTGTTATTCATCCGAATCACATATAAGAAGTCAGATACTCTAGACTTTCGGTTTAAGTGAGTTTGTTAATGTCATCAGTGCAGAGTTTCTGGGGGAAACGATTCATTTTACAGGGAAGAGAAACTAGAAGGCCTCCACTTTTGTCTGACACAATAAAGAACAAAGCCAAAGACGGACAGGGAAATGCTAACACACAAATTGACTCATCTCCGCTGGATATGTTTTGGAGCCAACAGCCTTCCTCGGAGCGGTGGTCAAGAGAATCATTCAGGCCCATTATCTGATCAATACCTGGCTGCCTCTGGAGGCCCGGGAAAAGGATCAAAAGGCCTTGGAGCGCACTGCGATGTAGCGAACACGAAAATGCTCCGACAAACACTAATAGTGCTAACGCTGCCTCTAAACGATCAACTAAGAACACAGAGCAGCCGCATTGATGTTTCTGCACGAAACTGTATAGGAGGGCATGGTCGATTTATAATGAGGTGGTACTAAAAATCAATCCAAAGCATTTCAGCATATTTAGTACATAATAAAGAATAAAGTATGATTATTTCCTGATGTTATAAGTTGGTCATGTATACCCAAGTTAAGGGTAGAACTAAGCATGCTTTTAAGCAGCTAAATGTAACCCTTAACCTTCCTGTTGTACCCGTCTCATGTGGTTTCAGACATGCTCTTGATGAAGGTTGAATGTGTTTCTAATGTAAATTGAGTGCACTAACAAATGTTGAGCTCTGGGTTTAACACCAGTCCAACTTGACATTTGAACTTGAACAACCATGCAATCCTTACTTTACATCCACAATGGATTAGCATTTTAAAGAGATACTGATTGTGTGTTACAACAGTGATCTTGTCAGAGGTCGGGGTCAGACACAGAACAGACACTTCTGGGACTAGAAGACTTTCAGGGAACACTTCAGAACAGCAAAAAGCTTTCTTGGAAGTCCAGTTCCTTGAAATGTAACAAGACTTTTATCTTAAAATCTCTGACCTTGATGACAATGTGTCCCTTCCTGGTCCCGCTGCGGTCCAGCTCGCGGTGCTCCTTTACCATCACGATCTCCCCCTCCTCCTCCACCTTGTGCGTGTTCTTTTCCACATGGTTGAGGATGCGCCAGTAGTCCTCCTGGGCCACGCAGACGAACTGGTCGAGGATGACATGGGGACAACGTGTGAATTTGTAGTAGAGCAACACACTGCTCGGCACCACAGCCGGGTACTCAAACAACAGCAGAGCAGAAGCATGAGGGCGGGCAGAGAGAGACATGGGAGGGGTGGAAGGTCCAAAACACACCAACTAAAGTTAAAGAAGCCTCAATAAAAGTACAAACGGCGGTCACAAATCCTGTCAGCTATCCATTTTGCAGAAGAATCCACTAACTTCCCATTCTCACACTGACAGAAAGCGCCAAGATGTGACTCTTCACCGCCCTACAGCATTGTCTCTGTCTGCGCTTCCCCTCACTAAATCACCAATTTCTGCATTTGCGTTGCTAAGCCCCTTCTGAAACTTCCTGTGTATCTGAAGACAGGAAATGATACGTGCAGCGGAGGAACTGGGCAGTGGACAGAGGGGCTGTTACCACAAGCACTCGCTAGGCTCCTTTTACCTTTAAAGGCTCATCAACAGCTTTATAATCATGCTTTGTATCAAGAATGGCTTTCTGTGAGAAACCGGCATGCCTATTTGTAATCATGTCTGACAAATATATGACCCTAAATGACAAGGTAGAAACGTCTGTGGCTTATTTTACAAGCAAGATTCTTTATTTTAAAAGGTACACCAAAAGAAGAGCATGAAGTAACTTTCAAATGTCAACCTTTTTTAATAAATAAAACAAAGGTTTAAAGGAGAATCTCTAAATTAAGATGTGCCATTATCTATTTCTGGTTGCAGAACTCTTCACTGTAGTTAAAAGAAGAAATTAACATAAGATGCAGTATAAAAAAGCAGTGAAAGATTAAAAAAAGGAAATACACCCTTAAATGAACTCAAACCAAATGAATACAAACAAGTGTGTAAGGATGATTGCACAGCATTAAAAGAAAGTGATTACATGAATGGAAATATCAGATACTTTCACTTTGTTTTTGTATTGCAGCTTAACAAATAATGTCTAAGTCTGCCAAGAAAACACATTTGTATGAAGTAATCTGTAATTGTATCACCGTCTTTTGTTAACAATCACATTGAATCTGTAAGTCTATCAATCTTGCAGCAAGATGCTTGACAATGAATCCTCTTTACCTGGCAGTCGTCCCCCTTGGTACGAACTTCTCCGTTCATGAACTGTTTGTCCAGTGAGGGCGAGATGCCGAAGCTGTTGCCCATGCAAAGAGTCTCCACTCTCCCCTCTGGATGGCTGATCTCCACTGCCCCGTTCAGGATAACATACCAGAGGTCCAGCTGCAGACAGAATCATCAACCATTCAGTGTCACACATTGAGTCATGATGCCAACACTAGTGCTGGCTTGTGGTTCTTCTTATTGCTCTCAATTCCTGCTCTTTTCACAGTTAGGTCAATATACTGTGAATGGTTGTGTGCCTAATGAAACAACCGTTATGTAATACAAGGTGGTAGATTCACGAGTCAACACATTTAATGACTTCCAGATCGACTTGACTTAACCTGTTAAGCCCCGAGCCTGTTTTGCAGGTCTTCATATGGACCTTTTTTTAATTGAAAATACTTCATACCTTATCTCAAGACTAAAGATTATAATACATTTGTTGTAAAGATTTCAAAGAGAACAGTGGATATAACTGTAATGTTTGAGGGATTTGAAAGTAGAAGCACTATGTAATCAACTGACCTATAACACTGCACAAGAATGGCTGTTGAAATGGCTCTATATTACCAGCTGACATTTATCGTTATGGGAGCATAATGTGCTTTGTGTGAGGTATGAGTACAGTGTGAAGAGGTATTGTGTCTCTAGTGGTGGCTATTGAAAAGGAAATGCCAGCAGGCATAATATAACAAGCCATTCATTTTGGGGTGCGAGCGGATGGAGGGGGGGGGGGTGAACAAATCCCGGGGCTCCATCCGCAACTATAACTGGTATTTCCTCCTCATTGCCTTTTCATTCCCTCACTATTTCTCAAACTGCAAATCTCCAATTCTCTCGGTGCTCCTCTGTTTCTCTTAATGCCAGTGAGCTGCTCACTCTCCTTGTTTCTCAGCAACGATAAAATGTCATTCAAAAATAAAATAAAAACATTTTCCCTGTTGCCATAAAATATCTAAATCAGTGAAGACGGAATCTTTGAAGGCAGCTTTCTACCTAAGCATGTTATATCTATATATGAAACCTTAATTCAGACCACCATATACTTGTATTGTAGCTTCTATTGTGTTATTAATATATGAATGTCCTTTCATATAACCTGTCTAAATATGATTTAATGTGTTATAGTGAACCTTTTTCACTGGAAGATCGTTCACATGGAAACCAAAGACAGATTTCCCTCTTCTCACACAAAACGTAGGCAACCAAGTTATTTTCTAAAAAGTAAGGTGAGGGAAGGTAATAAACCACATTCAGTATTAAACACAAGACACCTTAAAAGGCTATTTTCATTATACATACTTGAGTTTATATCATGAATAATTATGGCAGCCTGCAAAGACTGCAGCCTGTAAGCCTTTATTTTCTCAGGTTCCTTATTTATCAAATAAAATGGGGATTAAAGAAACGTAAGTTGATTTCGCCCACTCCCTGCATGTTATCCTTCTCTTCCGCACTTTACCTCTATTATTTTACTGTATTTATTTCTGTTACACTACTTTAGATTATTTTTTATTTTCCTCTCCCTCCCTCTCTCAGTTAGCAGAGTGGTGTTAATCTGTGAGAGAAGTGGACCTTCAACACGGGTCCACAGAGACAGAGTGGAGAGGACCTGTTCATCAAATGACTCGACACAGACAGTATGGAGGCACACTTTACAATGCACACAGCCTATTCATGTATATGTATGTGTGTGTGTGTGTGTGTGTGTGTGTGTGTGTGTGTGTGTGTGTGGTTCTGTCCTGCTGACGTGGATTCCCTTCCTCCTGGAGCAGTTCATCGCCATTTATCACGCTGACGTTTCGAACGCTGCTGTGTGTAACCAAACAGCCATGACAGAGCTGCCGTTTCTCAGCCATGTAACTTCATTAATTAGCAGATCAGGAGATTGACAGGGCTTTTACTCTGCAGTGACTTTGCACATAGCAGTTTCTGTAGAAGAATGAGCTTTGGATAGACTGGAAGGTGGCGACGATGGGTTTATCTCTACTCACATGTCACCACCTGCACTCAAAACTAAGTGTTTTTGTGTTCTGCTTTAACATCCTTTCTTTATTGTCTATTTTACAAAGTGTGCATGTTCACCTTGGCTTACCTACCTTAATGGTTGTTTGTTTTTTTGTGTGCCTTTTGAAAGATAACGCTACTGATTTGCAGGCCATGGAAAGACACTTAAGAATCAGAAAACACATCCAATTCTGTATTGATTAATGTCGAATAAATAATGCTTACAAAGATGTAATCAAACAGACATACTTTGCACATGATAATCACCCCATTAAATATCGATCTAAACGCGACATGCAGCAAAAAAGCATTCTCTCTTTCTCCAAATTGTAAAGGCCCCTTTGCAGTTTGATACATTTCTATTCACAAATACATATATGTGTGAATGCTATGAGTTTGTTCCTACCTCCTTTTTGTCTTGCAGGATGACCGTGCCTGCCTGCTCCACCACCTCAAACACCATCACGCTGCACAGGTCTCTCCGCACAGACATGGTCATGTTGGCAAAGGCAGGCAGCTGATGCATGAACTCCAGCAGTTGCTCTATTTGCCACAAAAAGGATACAAGAGAGAGAAGAAATACATTGAAGAGAAAGCATAAACTCTTTTGAACCATGTAAAGAGCAATCTATTGATGTCATCTGTGTGACCAAAACAAGGTTTGCTTCTCAGGTGTGTGGTTAACACACTCATTGATTTTTACCATTGACTAACAACAGCATTTCTAAAACAAAGTATGGACTTTTGAATGCCCCCTACTAGGGCTGCTCGATTATGGCAAAAATCATAATCTCGATTATTTGGGTCAATAATTGATATCATGATTATTAAAAACGATTATCCATTTACTTTGAAAACATCAACTTATTGGAGAAAAAATGTGAACAGTATGTTTTTAACAGTTGATTACCCTGAACTTTAAATATAATTCAACTGAAAAAGTAATAAAAAAAAAGGTAATAAAAAAAATAAAGTAATAATGATAATAAAAAAATAATCGTTTTATTTCGATTACGTTGTTTTCGTAATCGTTGCAAGCCATAATCGTCATTTTGATTAAAACACGATTAATTGAGCAGCCCTACCCCTTACTGCATGTACACATACATCACCAAGGCTACTTTGAATTCAAGCACAAAGTAACCTTTTAGAAAATGGAAAATGTGAAATTGTAGTCTTATGGCATCAGAAATCTATTCACACATTAAGACATTGGACATTGTGTATGACTAAAACATGTATACATCCATTTTCTTCAAAACCCTTAAGACCTATACCCTTTCAAACATCATAAACACACAGATAACAGTATCTCTTAGTGATGACATGGCCAGGAGCAGTGCATGCTATCACCGCTAAGGCTTTTCATGCCTAATGAGAAACGTTCACACCGTGTTCCTCCCTTCCAGATCTCCCCCCCCTCCACTGTGTGTGAGAACATAGTGACCCAGCTCCATCCTGCACACTGTGATCCTGGCTGAGCAGCTTCCTTTATTCCCCCTGCTGTTATCGCCTCGTTCATTTACTCTCTTTTTCTTCTTTACTTTGCTCTTCCAAAACCTGGGTCACACTAATTGAGGTCATTCCGAATGTTTTGAAACAGTTTGAAGTGCCAGATGGTTGTATGTTTAAAAATGTGAGCAAAATTAAAGATGATATTACATATTGAATATTATGGTTGGAAACTATCCTGTGGAAACCAACAATCTGGTGAGCTACAGATTAAAGCCCCACATTCTGACTAAAGGCTTTGAATATAGATCCACCAGCAGAGTGGTATTAATCAGGCAGTAATGGGATGTAGTAATAATAAGATGAATATTTAATGACAGTATTCAGGATCGATGACGTACTTCTTTGCAGTCTTTTTTGGCTGGCTATGTCCTCATGCCACCCCTGTTTATTTTTCATGTGTTTATTTAATAAAGACAGAATTTTCCTTCAAACTTTGTTTTAATTCAATACCTTTTAGAGGCCAGCTCGGATGCAGTTATCCATTCATTAATAAGGCAAAGGATAGAAGACGTTGCCAAGACTTTTAACCATCTTGCTATTTCTCAGATTGGAAAGGTGACCCCTCCAGGGAGCCCCTTTTGATAGTCAACACAAAATATATCTCCCCCTTTCAGGAATTCTATTGATAGGATAAACAAAGGGATTGGTAACATAAAATGGAATAAAAGCTAAATCTTATCTAAACACTAAATCATAAAGTTATATAGTATTATCCTGAGAAGCAAACTTATGGCAAATGACTCCGTAACTTAAGTCAACTTTATTTAGGAAGAAAAATGTATTAATAATTAATTTACTGATTTCCCTCAAATTCTCAAGTTCTTATATCTGAATGAGTGAAAGATGAGGGCCACGAGAAGGCCAGCCTCCCAGCATGCACTCAGCAGGCCGGGCCATTACAACTCCTCTCATCTCTCTCATGTGGTCACCTTCTCCCACAGGACCCCCCGCTGGGTGCCGCTAATGAGGTCGTCTCTCTGATTGCCTGCTTTAAAACACACAGTGGAAGGGCACCTGTGTTTAGAGACCACTGTGAGGGCTGCTTTTGTGAAAGAGGGGAGTTGTGTATCTCCTCTTTGCTTATTGAATGATAGATGATGTATGTGAGGATGTTAAGTACAACGTCTAAAAATAGTAACTGACAGTCCTGTAAGTGTTTCAAGAGACATGCAGGCATATTCTGTATGAGTGCCTCATTTCAATGAGATTTTAAGTGCGCTATTCAACGGTGGATTGTAGGCGAGAAAGATGAATACCCTTTAAAAGCTGCTTTCAAATTCAATAGAACATTGAAGGTTAATATGAAGACCAAACAAGCAGAATAGCTAGTCAGACTCACCAATGTCGTCATCGTTTCGGTCTGCTGGCTCTTTTTCCAGACACTCTCGGACCAAGTCTCGGCCTACAAGAGTGTCTGACGCTCTCTCCAGGTCCTCATCTTCCTCCTCCTCTTCCTCGCTGTCCACTGCAGCCTCTGGAAGTCCAGACAGGTCCACATCTCCCAGCTCGCTCTCTGTGGCCTGCAGAACAAAGATGGTGGAGAAAGCAGCACAGTGGTTGGTAACAGGACAAGGACAGGAGGAAGCAGTCTGTGGGCGCTTCATTTAAGATGAAGGTATAATCAGAGCAATAACTAGGCATAGGAACTAGTATTGGATAAGTAATGTGTACCAATTCAACTCCCAGATGTTGATGTGCACCAGTTTAATTCTGCACTGTGGTGTTCCAACACGACAATATTCTAACATGATGGAGAATGTTTTAAAACCACACTTAAATTAAGTTGTGGCTGAATAAGGACCATTCCACAACGAATAAGAAATTGGCACACAAAATGAATCAGTATTATTTAATTATTGGAATGAAAGGGGCACATATTTAAGGAAAAAGCATTTAAATTCAAAGATATATTTTTTACATTTTCTTATTTTTTGAACTTAGGGTGTCATTTATAGAATAAACAGTATGTGTCCTTTGCCATTCAGTCGAGTGAAATGTGTATATTAATAAGCTATCAAATAACCTTGATTAGCAAAATACCTTGAATCTTGATTACATCTCCCCTTTGTTTTGTGATGATTATTTGTGGGGGAAAAAACAACACCTGAGGATATAAACTTGAGCAGCTGTACCTGTGACCCTGGGCTAAAATCCTGACACCAATTCCCAAACAGCCAAATATTTAAATCAAGCTGTAATAATTCATATTTAACCCTGTTTCCAGTGTGCACTGCAGACAGATGGTTGGCAGGGTACGGCTCTAAAGGGGCATTGGGGCTTTCAGGTCGGCTGGGGATTGAACCATTGACCTAGAGGTGGAATGCGGAGCTCCCCAGTGGTGCTGGCAGAGCTGCAGGCCATCTGTTGGCTCTATCAGGTAGGCCTGAAAGCAAATACAGTATTCTAGGATAATAGAGCCTAATTGGTTCTGGTCTTTGCTTAAAATCCATTATTTCTCTTATTTATTGTATTCAATTTGCTTATAACTGGGCAACAAGCGTTGCAGTCTACATGCCTTAGTTAAGATTCGTTTTTTGTGTTTAACAATGTCCATAAACTTTAACAGGGAAGAAAAGAGAGTATGTCTAAAAGTTAAATTTGACCAGGGAAAATGTACTTGTATGCATTTTGAAGTCATTGATTTAGTAGAGTGGAATAAGGATAGAATGAAAAAGTGAATTTGCTGTCCTACACACTACCGGATGAACTCCCAAACCTACAACATGATCCAGCTCTTGGCTTTATTTTGAGAATTGGTATCTTGCCAATGGGTTTTATAGGATTCTCTGGAGGCAGGGAAATTAAGCTAACAAGCCATCCCGAGTTCAGGCGCAGGTTCACTCTTGTTTTCATAGACAGCTATTTCAAAACACACCAGCTACTAAATTCTGCCCTAGGTGCATTCCTTTCAGCCTAATATTTTGAAATATAAGAACAGACAAGCAGGAAAAATACTTTCCTGTCAAAAATAAAACGTGAATCCTGGTTTTCTTTACCTTGTCACCAATTTTAAATGAATTACATATTAAAAGTGAATGTAAATGTAAGGATTTCATTAATTGGACCTTCAGAAACAAAAGCAGCTCAAATGTAAAATACACTTAGGGGTACAATAAAACAAATGAGACACTTAAACCAAATATATCAACAACAGTTTGTCCTACAAGTTGTCCCCAAGTGAAAATCTATGTTTTTCACTTTTCCATCACCACTGATTTATTGAGTCCTAGAGGCTAAAAGTGCAGCAGTAGTTTTTTATAGTCCCCGACATAACTCCATATTGTAAAATAGAGGCTGTTATAGAAGTGGTTAAAATCCTGTGTGCTGTGGTGATATCCCTGAGACAATAACATCTCGCCCTCTGCTGCTGACATATCTCTCAGGGCTTTTGGGAGTCCGGTTCATTCAGAATGCAGGATGAGCCCTTTCAGTCCAATTCCCCCGGTCTCAGACTGAGTTTGAGCAAGGAGGACCGTTCCTAGAGTCGAGGGACATCAGAGCTGCCCGAGAAACCCTACATTCTACAGTGCTGTGGCAGACTACCAGAAAGTGGCGGAAAGGAGAGGAAAAACAGAAAAGAATAGTGTCATGTGGGAGGAATAGAGAATAATAGGAGAAATACAGGTGACTGTCTGGAGAGATGAAGGGAAAGGGCAGTGAGAACAGGAGGAGGTAGATGGAGTTGAAAAGTCTGGACTTGGAGTAAAGTGAACAACTGTGAGTCAGCCTAAGGTAAGGGAGATAGTGGGGAAAAAAGGAAGCCATGACAAAAACAGTCCTGACAGCTGAGAACCAGAGCCGACTGGAGGGTAAGCGCTTTAAGAAAGATGTAAACAAACACAGAAACGGGTCAGCGACAAGCTGATGGGATCAGATCCGTGTGATAAATATCTAATCTCAGGATGAAGAGATCAGGTCTCTGTGTTAAACGTCTGACCCAGGCCGACCTAACTTACATCAGTCTGTGAACGCTCACAAACAGGCGGAGGAAGGAGGACAGGTTGTGGCAGAAAAGGAGGTTAGAATATCTGAATTATGTCATTTTAGTCCATTTTCCATTGAGAGCTCATGTGAAAAGTCAGACACTAACACTTTCTATTATTCATCAGCTCCTTGCCCTGGTACTTCAAGGTCACCAGTTATTCATAGACCCTTTTCCTACTTAACTGCACCACCATGAGATGTTGAGGCTTATTTAAGGATGTTCTCCCCGTCAATAAACAATCAAACTGGGGTTGTCTTTATTTATACAAATATTTCCACCAAGGTTTTTCACAGGTAAAATCAAAGAAAACATGTTTATCCCCAATATATTTTTAAGGTGTTTCTCTTTCATGGTGCAAACAATGTTCCAGGACAATATGGAAATGTATGCAAATTGCTGCTGCAAAAAACGTATCATTGCTGACTGAACACTGCTGCATAGGAGAAAGTCATCCCTGGGAAAGCAGGAGAAAGATATGTGGCGTTGTTTTACTGGACACACACAGAGGGTGAGAGAGAGCACGGTCAGGTCTAAACTGTGAGTCGGAGAGACAGAGAGACAATCCTCCAGCACACACGGATGATGGTAAACTTTCGATATTTTCGAAGAAAGCAGCAAAACTGTAGCTCTCTTATTTGTACGCCTTCCTATACCTTGGAGAAAAACTCCTTTGTTCTACTTTTTTATTATAGTTTATATGTACTTCTTAATTGTAATGTTTATAGTGTATTTGAGAATAAATTAAACCTATATTTTCTAATAAAGACATTAGCATTGTAAACTGAAACAAAGTTGCTCATTAGTTGAGTGGCCAGCGGCACTCATCGATCAAAGCAGCTCATTAGTTTGTAGCTAATGGACTTCACCAGTTCCCCCGATGAAAGCCTACAATGCTAACAAGCTGGTGTCAAAAGGGGAACCCCTCCTAACCCACACATGCATAAACAAACATTTAAGAAAGAAACAAAACAAACTGCAGCACCGAGTGTCAGGACTGAAGTGTAATATTAAAAGGTTCTTGGATTTGTTACGACTTTCTGTGTAAAAAGTGGAGATTAGGAGGTTTGAGGGATTAAAATGATGAGATGTCAGCCTCGTCATGTACCCTTTTATGGATTATTGGTTCACGGCCATTTAAATACCCTACACTCGAGAAAGGCATTCAATTCAAAAGCACACTGAGCTATTGAATGCTCCGAAATGTCAAGTAAAGGTGAGGCTAATACAAGAGGAGAGCAAACATATGAAGAGCTCGTACTCTGTCAATAATACTTTTGTAGATTTAACACTTAAGCTGGATAATTGAAAAACGCAACCATGTTATAAGCTGGCTAGTGTGCTGACATTAAAAGCAAACACCAGTAAGAAGCAAAAGGGTCGTAGACACACGCTAAGAAAACATATTTTAAATGAATGAATTTACTTTAAGAGGACAATGTGAAATGACAAAATCTGACAGGAATTGGAGTAAATAGGATTACTGACATTCACATTTAGAAAAAACGTATTTTGAAGTTAAGTCCAACATCATTTGCACTAGTGTTGTACACTAGATGTTAAACTCTTTCAATTTACCTGTGGAAGCTGCCCACAGGGCAACCTGTTATAAACCCAGCTACACTGACAATGTTACAGCTCCTATATCTGCAGCCAGCTATAGACAGATCGGAAAAGGTTAGGTTCATTTCCTGTATGTGACCTTTCATCCGCAGCAGGAAGTACAGAGTAACACCGGGATGCACAACTGATGTGCGATAATTAGTGAGATACAGAGGATTACAGGGAGGGAGGGTAGAGGAATGACGAATATACTACAGGTGCACACAATTGGAGCAAAATGAACTGAGAATCAACCATCTTCACCACAGACCAGGTGTTTTGGCAGTGCTGTGGTGGAAGGGTTTATTAATGGTTTGTGCCAAATAAGTGATAATAGGCGCTTTCACACCAAGTACTTTGCCGTACTTAGTTCATGAGTTCATCAGAACTCTTTAGTTCTGATGAACTAAAGAGCAGATCGCGTTCACACCGGAATACGTCACTGGGGGAGGATTAGGCAAATGAAGCCGCTGACGTCACTTCTTCTTCTTCTGCTTTGGGTTTACTGGCAGGCCGCAAACAACTTCACGGCGTATACTGCCACCCGAAGTCCCCGGCCGGAAGTCCCCGGAGTTGGGGACAGGCTTCAGTAGAAGCTGCTGGGAGTCCCAGTAAATCGCCAGAACGCCGACACCTCCTCATCTCCACCGCTCCCACGTTTTATTTTGTGTTGCCATAAGTTAGTCTCTCTGCGTTGGTGCACTGGGCTAATGCTAATGCTAATGCGAGCAAATCAAATTGCGGCTTCACAAAACTTTTTGGGAGTTTTATGGGGCGTGGTTTGCAATCCTTCCAGCCAATCAGAAATGGGAACCTTTTTCTCCCATGAAAGTACCTGCTCTCTAGCAGGGACTGAAAAGGGGGTGAAAAGGTTCTCGTGAACTAAGTTCTAGTTCCGGATTTTTTTGGTGTGAACGCACATTTTCTGAACTATATCGGAACTATACTGGGAAAAGTACTCCGGTGTGAAAGCGCCTAATGGCAGCAGGGAAGGAAAACATGATTTGAAATGTATCAAAAGCTTTCTTATATGAAAAAAGAATACTGGACAGATAAGAAACAGGATATTCAAAATACTTGATACTGGGACAATTGGATTGATTATACTGATGTTGAACTTCTTAAACTTAAAATATGTTAAACAGGGGAAAAATACTTTGGCAAAGTTAAATGTAAAAGTAAAAGGTCCAAACTTTGATGGTAAACTAACAAAACATGAGATTTCATTGAACTGTAACTTAACAATGTGGATATGTCATGATTTTAAGGTTGGTTGGCACATTGTTCCAAAAAAACAAAACTGTACACAATGTTGCAGAAAAGTTGTCAGTTGTGACTGAAGTCTTAAAAATAGAAAGTCATTTCAAAGAAGAGACTATCTTTTAAAATGAGCAATAAAGGACCCACCTGGTAAATATCTGATAGGCTGCTACTCCCCGAGTCGCTGGCGATGCTGCATCCTGATTGGCTGGGGGCCATGTGCATCAGCTGCTGATGGGCGTGGTCTGTTAGGTGCATCTTATTGAGGTCCGCAGGAAGCTGTTCAGACGGACAGGAAGTGGTAGAGACACAGAACGAGAAAAGAGAGAAGAGAAAATTAGTTTAATAGAGTCAACATATACAACATACTGTGTATCGGAACAAGCACAAATACACACTCTCTCACAAACACACAGACAGGTGTTTCATTAGCTTGAAAGCCAACGCTGGTTTGGCAGTGTTTGACGTGTTATACTCCAACATAATTAACATGAAGAGGATGAAGGTGAAGAGGCTTCAGACGGCTGTGAATTACAGCATGATATATTTCATTTCTGATGGACAGAGGAAGGTTGGAGGTTTGAGACTGGTGTTATATGTTTGTAGTGACCTTATCAAACCACAGAGCAGTAAATCCTGGCTGTGGCTGACTTATTAGGATGTCAGGACAAGCTTTGTTTCATGCAAATAGCTTACATGTTATATGTGCACACGGAACACACCATCAAATAGATGTTACAAGTTTACTCAAACTCATTTAGAGCCAGATGCAAAGCACGCAAATACACTTCCATTGCCATTTTAACACCTAATTAATCCCAATATACACAGCATAGGACAACTCGTAGACAAAGTGTAACACAAAACAGAAATTCCTCCTATGAAGCCACAAAGAAAACTAGCGTTAGCTTGACTAAATCAGAGACTACCCTTGTGGTAGACTAACAGTAACAGATGCACATGAAATGACCACATTGTCAGAACAACTGCAAAGCTGGACACATACTCAATGTCGGTCACCATAAGAGACACACTTATATAGGTTGTACAGCAGGACCAACAAAAGTCAAGTCAATGTATTACTACCAAATGTATCAACATTAAGGTTTCAGAGGTTAAACAATAAGCAGAGCTGTGAAAACCAACTGGTCTACCAATAAACAATAGATAAAGATGCAAACATTATTAAGAGACCAACTAAGACAGCTACAAATTGGATTGACTACAAAGCAAGGCAGGTGGGTTTTATCTCTCATACAAGGTGAACCAATGTACTTGTGTTGTTCCCCTTAGAATAAAGGCAAACCCCTAATTTTTTTAAGTCTTACCAGTTTGCATCGGGGCAGTGTCAGAGTGAGAGAAGATGTCCTCCTACGACACCGGGCGAACCTACAGCACACCTCCTCCATCGCCACCTCAGACAGCGCTCGCCATCCAAACACACACATGAACACTCACGGCGACAATATCACATCCACACCAAGCCAAACTGGTGAACCGCAGTGCCAACATGCAATATTAAAGACGTGGAGTCTGGGGGTGCTGCCCCCTCAGTACTCTCTTCTAATAGGCCTGTTGTACTGTACGACCCCATGAGCACTTAACCCCCCACTCCCCTGTTCCTCAAACCCACAGGGAAACACTGTACCGAGGGGCGGAGCTTAAGAAGTCCAGTGGCTTGTTTTTAATGTGTGCCATATTGGGGAGCATTCAACGTAATGAATTATTGTACAATGGATTTTCTTCACACAAGCTTTTTCAATCATTTTAAATTGATTGATTTTTTTTTTAATTTTATATTATGTGTGGACCCTAGGAACAAATCAAATCACCATGTATCACATAGTCAACCATTATTTCCAGTGTCCATTCTCAAGAAATAAACAGCAAGGCGAACCAAGTATTTTTCTTCTGCTATACCTTATTCCTACAGTCTGAGGCAACACATTGTAATATATATGTGTCCATTTCTATATGGCTGTCTCCTTTCCTGAACAAGACATTTGTATTTTTCAGCGAATGACTGGCAACAAAATGTACGACACATTCTGTTTTGACTAAGCCATTGTAGGAAATCAGCATTAATAAGATGGGTACTAATTCATTCTTTGAGGATTTATTTGTATTTATGTATAAGAACAAATATATGACTTTGTTCAGTAGCTGAGTCTCGAACAAGAGCACTAAACATTCACTCACCTACATACAAAATCTGAAAATGCTTCACCGTAAATCAACAGTAAATTTAGCATGAATAAACTTTAAACATTAATGCATCTGCTACCGTCTTTATCCACCACAATATTAATGTATACAACTTCAATACTAATACATTTTTAGTCCCCCTGTGTTTCTCTTCCCAACTCACACATTTCAAAGATAATAGTGATCTAAAAAAAATACTTTAACAAAACTATTCTAATTCCTAATTGTTCCACTGCAACATTTATGTACAAATACTGACTCGCAGATCTCTGGGATTAGTTTTGGTTTGACTAAGTATTTAAATGAAATCCATTTCCCATTAGGTACCGCAGTGTAATGAATTGTGTGTTTCACTTATCAAACTGCAGGCAACACCTTATCCCAGACTATTATTGACTAAGTCACACATATACACAAGTAGAATTCCCTTCACTTGTCTCTAATGCTTGCTGTTGACAAACACTGTTCACTACTGATTTGTTGTGTTTGTGTGTGAATTAGAAGAGACAGAGAACACAATGAGAGAGGGGGGGGGGGGGACAGAGAGTGATTGCTAATTTCTCCACAGGTAAACACATATTGATTTCTGCGTGATGGAGCAGCGATGATGAAGCTCCTACCATGCAGCCATTTCAAATATTCACTTGATTCCACACAAAGAGAGACAGAAATTAATGTCAAACTGCGGAGTCGATCAGCACTCAGGAAAAAGAAGCACACACAGAGTGTACTGAAAGAATAAAAACATGGCATATGATTGAACTACCAGGCCTTCTTCTCCTTGAGATCATAGTAATCATTGGGAATTCAGATGTGACATTTTGGCTGTGCGTCACTGAAACATATATTTGCTGACCGAAGAGGTTGAGGGTATTTAAGCCACCATGGTAACTTTGACATTTTGGCAACTACACTCAAGTAATGTTCAAGCATATAAACTATAACATCATTGGCTCCATGTAGCTGATGAAGTATCGGCTTTTTGTCATTCAGACAGGTGGTGACTTTTCCGTTAATGTTCCTAATGGCTTCATTCAGATGGAGCAGACTAATGGAAAGAGCACCGAGCTCGTGCAACATTTGGCGCCTGGAGACGAAGCAAAGAGAGACAGAATGGAGATGAGTTCAAATCGCCAGGGAGAGAAGGGTTTCCTGTTCTCTCAGGCTGCATTACGGATGGATTTAAAAACTTTTGTTTCCATTCTTTTGTTCACTCATGCTTGTTTGGATTTATTTTTCTAAATAAGTAAGAGGAAAGAGACTTAGGGATAAGATTAAGTTTAAAAATGGGGAATTATGTTCCTTAAAAGTGTGTTTTTAGAGGTTCCAGGGAATGAAATAGGGCAAGGGCAGATTTTATAAGAGAGGGGAAAGGATGGGATAAGGAAGATGCTTAAGGGAGTGATAGGAGCAGTGAATAATTGTGGTGGTCTCGCGACTCCCATTCACACCACAGACTTAATCCTGCTCTAATCCTCCTCATCCCTCTCCCAGCGGGCTGAGTGGTGGAGGGGAGGGGGGTTGCACAGTGGCGTGGGGGTTTAGTGGGGTCTCCCATTCTCCTCATGCATTAAGGATGAGAGTTAGGAGATTAAATATAAATGTTCCTTCAGCTGTACAATTCTATCATGTCAACGAAAGGGCACAATCACGGCGGGATCAAGCAGAAGTAAATGTGTTGTCGCATTCAAACAGACAGAGCTCTCACAATGCCAATCTACTACAGAGATATGAACTCTATGATAATAGGAATGAGGAAGATTACAATGAAAAAGGATGCAGCAGCCGAAGAGGTGGACAGTACACGAAGACAAAGCCTCGAGCTGCCAGAAGAACATCTCGTTTTTACCTTTACGCTGGGTGGCTTATATATAAATAAATGGCTAATGTTACCAAAGTAAACCACTGGAAGGGTTTGTCCAATATTTAGTTATGTACCGTTGTCAATGACGTGCTTTTTTATTCTGTAATCATAAAACATCAACTTAAACGTTATAAAGACTTGTGGTTAATATTGAAATGAGGGTATATATCGGAAAAAAGTGTAGTCTTACTAAAAGACACAATTAATTACGATCACTAATTTGTGTGATTTGAATATTTCATATTAAACCAACCAGTTAACACAATGTTCTTTAGTTCATAGACCAACCACTTAAATAGGATCCGTCCCTCCACCTATATCAATAAAGGTGAAAAGTGCGTAAGATAGCATACAAAGAGTCTCCTTTTTGGGTAATGCATGACATTTGTTTTTCTGTAGATTAACTCAAAACCCTGAAAGCAAAACAAAGCAGTTAAACATATTAGGGAGGTATCTTCTTTTCTCTTCTTCTACAAAAAACCTAACTGTGTTTCATTTATTTCATCCAATTGTAATAATGAGATTAACTAGCCGTGGGCCTGAGTGCTCTATTCCCCCCCATTTCCTCAGTGATGAAATGGGCTATAAAGCTCAGACAGGCCATTTGGCTACACAGACAAGAGCCTGGGTTTCCCAAAGGTATTTTAGTGTTGGCTAATCTTTGCTACATTGTAGCTCAATACCAGAGAGATGTTTTGGGAATGGTTTTGGGAAACCTTGAATACAATAATGGATAAAGCCTGGTCTCTAAGCATTACATTCTAGAAATGGTTGGTTAAGAGTCCCACACGGGGCCACAATATTAAAACACATTATCAAACAGGGCCGCTTCTTCACCTTGAATTAAGTTTACATGAATTATCAGTTAATGGTTTTCGGACCTAAGATTGTTAAAGCCCTGGCTTCATTAGGATGCAGAGATACCATCTAATGACTTAATGGTGGTGTATACACCTGAGACTTTACTAAACCACTGCTAATCAGAGAAAGAGAGACATCTACAGACAAATGCCTAGACAATTACAGAAACAAAGAGAGGTGGATAAGTACGACGAATTATCAAAATAGATGGAGCCTGACGGAGATGTCCATACATACAGATATGACAAAAAGGAACTGAAGAAAGATCGAACACAACTCATTAAGAAGAACAATAAAGACGACAAATGGCTCGGCTAAGTAATTAAAGAAAGTGTGATGAGGCTGATGA